TTTTGATTGGTTGTCTCTCATGCCACGTATACACCGTTGACGTTTTAGCATTGAAGATGTTCTGATGTCCCTTGGGGTGCACAGTGCACTCAGTCTACTTCAGATTAGGCGAAAAATAAAAATAAAATAAAAATTATGTGATTTAGATTTGTGTCTGGTAGAGACAAATGACATAATCATAAATTGCTTAGTTTAATGATAAAGCTGCAAAATTCTTTGGACAATCAGATTCTTTTTTGATAAAGGGGGTGTTCGGTAAATGGCGTTTCAGCAAAAAAAATGGTGGTTTGACACTTTTAGTGTTTTCAATAAATGAAAACGTTATTTGGTAAATAGTTGTTCGGTACTAGCGTTTTTGAATGGAACCTCTGAAATGAAAACGCTGCAAATATGAGAGTTTTGGATTAGCATTTTGAAATACGACGTTTTTAACCAATTTTCGTCTGACAACCCGCCATCTTATTCCGTTAATCAAACCCGCTGATTAAATAATACACTCCGCTAACATAACCCGTTATTCACTAACCGCCAACCGTTAAATGCCAAACACCCAAAATCGAATGGACGGAGGAGGTAAATCCAATGGGATAGGCTGACTTTGCGTATACCAATTGGATACATGCATGCATCTATGAAATAAGTAGCCTTTTAGGGATTCTAGAAAAAGATAAGTGCAATTTAAAAAGTCCACATGCCTAGTTTGCTTCTAATTTCAGAACCTATCTGGGTGACCGCTATAAAATACTCTGTATAAAATGATGATCTGGCAATAATGGTATACTTGAGCGGAAATGAGGTGAATTTAGAAGTTTTTCTCAATTGATAATCATTCTTTTTCTTTGGGCATCCGAGTGATGATATCGGTTTTGGTTCACTTTTTATCACTTTCAATTGGAAGAATGATTACGAAACTAATATCATACTCCGTACTATCTTTCGGTTTGGTTTGGTTTGCGTTTGTTATTTTAAAATTATATACTCCGTATAAAGATATTTATTGAATTTCTTTAGTTTGACTCGATTTTTCTCGATTTTGCCATTTCGGTTTGATTTAATTTCATACGGTTTGGAAAATATGTTGCGGAGTATCAAACTGCATATGGTTTAGTTTGGTTTGGAATAGTTTGATTTGATATGATTTTGCATAGTAATCCGTGTATAGTTTTGCATCAAACTTCATGTTGGAACGATATATTGCGTTTTCTGAACCATGTATTGAAAGCACTAATATTGCGAATGAGACAATGAGTGATCAAGAATTAAGAAAGAGCAGAATTGAAGCTTAATTGTTTAGATATGTCTGTGTGTTTAAGGATCTAAAATGAGTTCTACAACTGTAATTAAGAAAGCTTGACACCAAGCAGAAAAAGAGCACCTCGCGGTCTTGTTTTGAATTGCAAGCTTATGGTGGTGTCCTGATGGTTGAGTTGTATAGTTTGCGTGGTTAACCAAACACTATTTTACACATCGTTAATACTAGCATCTGATAAACCCTAGAGATTTTGATTTTGAGTATAACTTGTTTCTCTCTCAGACTTTATTGCAATCTGATTTGCATGTTTACAAAGAAATTAATCACGATAGTTTTTAGGTGAAACGAAAATTACTTCTGAGTGGCACTCGATCGAGAGGCAGGATATAAAATTTAATCCAACCCAAACCCTTTCTGGTTCATTTTTGCGCAGGTTTAACACATCGAGAATTATTAGAATTTAGAAGTTATGCATTTTCGTCCCGTTTAACGCATCGAGAATTATTAGATCGCTCGGGGATCCCTTTTGGAACAGTATTAAGATCCCGAGAAGAGGTACAAGGCTAACCAAGAACGAATAAAAGCTTTCTATATATTGAGTTTTTGCTTTTGTCTTTAGCTTTTCCCTCTAATTTTTGTTCTTCTCTCATTAGCAGTTGTATTTTTCTATGTTTCTTTTATAATTTTTTTTTTGCAAAAATAAATATATAAAATAAAATAAATTTCTCCTCTATAAACTAACACAAGCTTTAGACCAACTTTGAAGAGTAGTTTTTATGAAGTCACATATAATTCCTTCAAATTTTTGCGCCTTTGAACCTTAAAGCACGTGGCAATTGTGCTTCTTAAAATAACATTGTGCAAATCTCAAATACAATACTTACTTCGTATTTTGGTCTGGTAGGTCAATATGCTTCTTTGAGAAATGTGACAGCTATCAACAAGTCAACATTCACACCACAATTGGGAAAGAGTTTAGCGAACACAAGAGTCCAAGATTGACTTAACATTTAAAATGTGTAAACATTTTACACACAATTTCTTTTTGTTCCATAAATGCCTTTTTACTGAATGAAAATATTACTAAAGTTAACTGAGTTACTGTTTCCTGAAGTAGTACATTTATAAAAAATTCGCTGCCGAATAAGAAAAATAGATGATTTTATTTTAGAGGGCCCGAGGGAGTACAAAAAATTAAATGGCTACTAGCCATAAACGAGACTAAAAGTAGTTCAAAATTTCACATTAGGAGTACACTCTTTTTATTTCCAAAATAGGAGTAATATATGTCTCTTCTTCCTATTCTACCCTTAACCTATAATTTCTAATAGATTTATTTATATTTATTAATACAAAAAATAATAATTTTATTTATAATAAAAAACATAAAAAGTCGTAAAAAATGTTTTAAATTAATAAAAAATCGAGAAAAAATAAAATTTGAAAAAAAAATAATTTTAAAAAGTTAAAAGAACTAAAAAATAAAATAAAATACCTAAAAAAAATTAAAAAAATATGTAGGCCACTACCTCCGCATCCTCCACCGCCCAACACCACCACCTTCGATCGCTGGAAAAAAATGCCATCTTGTGTAAAAAATGTCACATTTCTCTGAAATGCCATAAAAATGACATTTTCCCCCAACTTGGCAATCTTTTCCGGCGACCGAGGTGGCGGTGTTGCCAGGTGGCTGAGGTGATGGTTGAGGTCTTTATATTTTTTATTTTTCGATTTTTTTATTTTAATTTTTTTATGTTTCATAATGATTATTTAAAAAATCCTATTAGGAAGGACAAAAGAAAGGGTAGAATAGGAAGAATTAGTTCTATTTTGAGAATTTAAGCATAAAACTCCTATTGTTGCAATTATCATATTATTTAGTCCTATATTTAGGGGCTTTCTTTTTAATCTTTTTCTTTATCGTGAACCTGCTTTCCTTTTTCTCTCTTCAGTTTTTCTCCTTGCACTCCTTAACTGAGCACACACCTTACTTTCTCCTTTGACACCAGTTATATTAGATTTAAATTACCATATGTTTAAAATGTTTAGAATGGATGATTGTATGAAGAGCAAAAGTGAAAAATTAACCGTAGAGGTTGAAGCCGCCATTAGGTAGTCAACCTTCAGACTTCAGAGTTCCGCCTTCCGTGCTTTCGTGTGGGTGTTAGCTATCGGAATCATCACAGTCACTCTGTCTCTGGGCGATTTGCTTCTAACGATGGGGATTCGTCCTTCCGGATTAGGGATTGGGCGGAATCACCGAATCTAAGTGGCTATCTGTTGCTGGAGATTGATAGAAGTTTAGGAATCAAGATACATGAGTCGTATTCTGCTACCAAAGTACGAAAAAGGTTTGGAAGGCGGTCTCTCGCTCTTTAGGGTTTTGTTCTTCCGCTTTCGTCATTGACGAAGAGCGATCGTCGGTGGATTTTGGTCATGCAAGCAGGCTCGTGACTAGGGATGCAGCGCTTTGGCGGTCGTGGCTCGTATTCTCCTATTGTTTCTGGGCAAGGGGCAAGGGCAGACAAAGAAAAGGCGGATAAGTAGTTGTGGGGCTTGAGTTCAACTCAACATCAAGGGATATCAATGAAGGATATCGCCAATCAATACAAAAGCATGACTATTGAGGCGGATGAACGGCGGGCTTGTCCCCCTCCCGAACAGCCGCCATGGAGTGCAAGAAAGTCTTGGGCCGAAAGAAGATGAATGAATTATGTTTTAATTCCATTTTGTTTTGTTTGTGTTTTTCTTTCGAATTGCATGTTATTTTGAGTGTGTTCTTATTTTCCAGCAGAAAGATTCTAGAATTTAGGTCAGGACCGTCAGGTGATGAAATCTTGTTTGCCTATCATTGGCCTAGCGCGGACATCAGACAAAAGATTTTTATCCTTTTGTTTCCTTTTTCTCTGTATTGTCAACCAAGTGACAAACATTTTGTTGATTTAATATATTTGTTGGCTTAATGATAAAAAAGTCCTATTTAGGAGTATCTCCCAAATTTAAATAGTATATTTATTTGGTCAACTCAAATTCAAAATCTTAGTCCTAACAGCAACTATGTCTCCCACTCTTAGATAGTCACATTTTAAGCCCAAAATCGTGTTTAGGGCATCTTCATTTGATCAGTCTTACATTATAAGGACCATCAGCAATTCAGCATGTTTAAGGCATCTACACCCGCCTGAATATCCAATCTTCATAGCGAACGAATACAAACTGCTACTGCTGCAGCAATTTCTCAATAGAAAGACTACAACTATTCAGCACTACATATCTGTAATACTCGAATAAACCTAGAGAAAGCAATGCAAGCTATTACCCTCTCTGGACCAGCCCATATATGTTACTCAAATACTCACTATATTGTAATATAACTCAGCCCAATTTCGTTTCGCATAAAGAATGGAAAGAGCCCATATTAAATTTGGTTACCTGTTACCCGTCTGGTTTAACCTATACTCAATCACGCCCATCACTTCCCAGTTGTAGCGGGTACCCCTATAGGCGTGGAGCCAGTTCCGGGATCACACTGGCCAGAACCTGCTGAGTAAAAGACCGGACCGCTGACCTGTTCTTTTATACCCGGACCAGAACTGGCCTTACCCCCGAATATTTTTCCAGCTCCTCCAAAGTGGGTCCAATTCTATCGATTCTGTTTCTTTAAAACAGAGCAAAACCGGACCACAATTGGCCTGGGTCCACCACTAGTAAATTGGAGGATATAGGATCTCCAAATATAAGTTTTGGTGTAATCTTAATAGGAATATCACATATCAGACCTACTGTTTACACATTTTCTCCTTAAACATTACAAACAAGTTGCACATAAAAAGAACTGATTTACTTGCATATCATTCTAACTTGCAGTGAAGACTGAAGAAAGTACATAGATTATGAAGCTCCATGTATGTCATCATCATATGAACTATGGAAGTCTACTTTACACCCAGTTGCCTCAGGATTTTCAGCACCACAGCAGTCATAAAACTTGGCAGCATAAGGAGGGTCATCTGGTCCTAACTCATAGTACCTTCAAAAAAACCGTCAAAACTTCCCTTGAGAAAATTACGGAGCAATAGACAGGCCTTCAAGTGTTGAACCAATGGAATGTGCAAAAAATGTAATGAGATAATTATGGAGGGTGACAGAAGGTGAAAGGAATATCCTTGTACTTGGATAACTGGATGAGTGATAGTACACCATTACGGCATTACACTAGAGGCCAACTAATAGACTAAACCTGAAAGGGGAGATTCCATGTCTTCTGACTAGAATGTAATCCCTTTGACTAGAATGTCTTACACAACACTAGTCCTACACCCCTTTGAGTGTAACCGCTTTGACTAGAATGTCTTACACAGCACTAGTCCTGCACCCGTGCATTGCACGGGATTTTAAAATAACTAAAATCAAATGTTAATAATGCACACATACTTTTTGGGTATTACAAAGGTGTTACCAATTAATTATAGCAGTAGCCTATAGTAACATGCTATAAATCTAGATTTTAGAGTTAACTGTTTAGTTACTAATAATGTGAAAAAATATTCATGCAAATAAGGTTTTAATGCTAATATAATAGCGGAAGAACAAAAAAAGCATCACCCAATATACTTAAACTCCAAAAGATAATATAGAAGAAGCCTAAAAACTTCCAACTGTTTATTATATGATGGATGGAAAATGGAAAGTCAAAAAATTACTTACCAAATAATTTCAAATGACCATTAAAATTCTAAGAGCCGTACCATATAAAAATTAGAATTTGGTATTTTATTACTTTAGCAAAGATCACAAAGAAATCATTTAAAAATAATATCCATAGAACAACATCAACCCACTTTTACTTATTTTGATGTTTGATGGAACACATATGCATAAACACCATGATTTCTAATCAGATATCAATATGTATGTTCGATATCTGCTTCATAGGTTGTAGCACCAACAGTCCCAAAAGAATGATTCATTCAATGTTGGAAGATGATTTCAGACCACAAATTGGTGGAGAGAGTGAGAAGTTCCCCAACAATAACAGAAAGGGAGCAACAAAATGTTATATGAGAGTCCAAATATTTGAACCCTTGCAGCTTAGATTAGGGCAAACACCCATAAAACCAAAGCTGTGATGTTCAAAGGCATTTACATGTGACAGAGGAGCCATTTCAAGTCCATCAAGTTCTAACCCTGACCATACAAATGGATCAGTTTATCCTCCCCAGTGAGAGTATCACACTCTCACATATGGAATTTGTTAAAAGTTGCATAAGAAAATTGTAAATACAATGCCTCAACAATATGTGTCCGCAAAGTGTAACAATCAGTTCTGGCGCCAAATCAAACAATTGTTTCATTTGTAGTTTGAAGTAGGGGTGTGCACCGGTCCAAAACCGGACCGGACCGGACCGGAACCGGTTTGGACCGGAACCGGAATCTTATTTTTATAAGGACCGAAGACCGGACCTGATACTAACCGGTCCATACCGACCCGGACCTGAATTTTCCGGTCCGGTCCGGTTTTAACCCTGTTTGACCCGGTTTTTAAAAAACGTATATTATCTATTTATCTTAGACTGTTGTTCTAGACTATAATTTGATGTGCAAATATGCTATATGGACTAAATAATTGTTTCATTCATTTATCAAATTTGGGAAGTAATCTCATGTGCAAATATGTTAAATAAGTAAATAGAATACAATAGACTAAATAAAAATTAAACTACATCCATAATTAATAGACCAAGGCACACCTGCAGTCTACAAAAAAGATGTATAAACTACATATAGAGACCTTAGTGCACACACCTTGCTTTTAATTTGCTTGTATAAACCTGCTTGAAACAAATTTAAAGCAGCCTAGTAAATAATTCGATACTAAATGACTTTCTATATATTGCATGTAAAACAATCTGGATTGTTGTTTCAAATCATAGCAAAAGTATTTATGAAAATCAAGTCCAGTAAAAAACAAAACTTAGTGCACCAACTCTCTTATTTACTATGTATGTAATTAACCAATGACACGGACCGAACTCAACGAAGCATATATTTTTAGGAGCAATAACTTAACGGGTCACCGGTCCGGACCGGTTTATTCCGGTTTTGACCCGGACCGGACCGGAAACCCGGAATCGTAAAATTCTAAGGACCGAAACCCGGACCGGTTTATACCGGTCCGGACCGGACCGGTCCATTCCGGTCCGGTTCAGGTCTAAAATACGGTCCGACCCGGTTAATGCACACCCCTAGTTTGAAGCACCTCCTCCTTTAGAGGAAGATCTCAAAGGTACTTTGCTGCTAGCTGCTTACCCCCACCCCACCCCCCTAACCCCAATGTCTATTTGCACACTTCATTTCAATAAAAAGAGCTCCATACATGAATTAATAAGACATACTTCAAGTTAAATAAACAAAGAGGGTCCACATGTTCATAGAATTATATTTAAAGCAAAAAAACACTTGGCTATAAAACACCATTTTAAATAATCCAAAACATTTAAATTATAAATGAGCACACATTAGCATCTAATCAAGTACATTCACCCCAATGTCTATTTGCACACCTCATTTCAATAAAAAGAGCCTCTATACATGAATTAATAAGACATACTTCAAGTTAAATAAAAAAGAGAGTCCACATGTTCCTAGAATTATATTTAAAGAAAAAAACACTTGGCTATAAAACACCATTTTAAATAATCCAAAACTTTTAAATTATAAATGAGCACACATTAGCATCTAATCAAGTACATTAACACTTCACCTCCTAATCAATTATAATATTAAGGTGGCAAAACAATCTCCATAATAGTAAATATCAGAACATGAGAAATATTTTTGGATTATAGTGATGTGAGCATATCAATAATTTTTAGTGACCTCAAATGCACTAAAAAAAGGTATTATGTTCTATATTTTTCTAAGAAACAATGTCACTCATTTATGTTAATAATAAAATTTGTTACCAGGCATCAAATAAAGTCTCATTAAAAAGAAAGTTGGAGATCGTAATAGAATACCCGGCGGTGCCGGTATATTTAGGCAAATACCCAAGAATAACAGATGTATGTAAATTTACAGAAAGGCCCTTTGTGGTAGGTGGGGTACTTTATACACTTAATTAGTATATAGAAACGATAGCATAACATCAAATTCTGAAATAAAGTTTATCTATATTCTGATTTTAATGTAATTAATCTAGACAGAAGTTCGAGGTAAAAGACTAAAAAAATGCTTTTCTTCAAAGTCTCTCGCATGTCATGTATCCCAAATATGTACACACATGTAGACAGAGTCACAGACATATATATTACCAACCAACAAATAGTATTAATCAAAATATTTGGATAATTATTAAAATTTATATCAAATATTAAAGCAATCAAAGTGGAACGTGAATCAACATGTCAATATTGAACTCAAATCTATTAAACAAATAGCCATACATATCAACAAAATCTCATCGTAATTCTGGAAAGACTGAAAGAGTGGGCACAATCTAAGGGGGTGTTCATATAGAATGTTAGGTTTGTATAATTTCAGTGGTTTCTAGACTTTCTACTTCTACTATTTCATCATCATTTCAGGAGATCTTTTGGCTCACAATTTTGAGCAAAAAAGTTAAAAATAGGTTGTCCTAAATAGGAGTAAACTTTTCCCTGATTAGGATTACTACTCGGTAGGTTTTTTCACTAAATCGGAATACATAACGGAATGTCTATATGATGTCAATATGTTGATATGTTTTGAGTACGAAAGAACCGCTGTAAAACACCTAAGTTTTACTTCATTTATTACGTCTCCCTAAAACACCTAAGATATATATCTATCAACAGAAATCCTAAAATGCTAAAACTCCAAGATTCCCAAAAGGCGTGGATTTTGGGATTTCAGACTGTTAGGAATTACTTAGTGACTAGTGTGTTAAATTATTATAATCATCTTTGTATCTGTGTAGAAAATAGCGCTTGTAATTACAAAAGGGCCAGTTTGTATTACGGCCCATTTATATATTACGCCTACAGTAACGCGCTTAACCTTCAGATATAAGATGTCTGTAGGGCTAAGTGTATCGATAACTTTTGATTATCATATACGGGCGCTAATATTACAGAGAGAGAAAGCCGCCACACCGAGAGATACTGAATACCCTGCTCTCGATTCTATAAACATCATTCTCGGTATTGAATATACATTCAGTGTGTTCTCCATTCTCTGTTTTATCATTATTCCCCTTGTTTGGCCTTGAATGGGTCATAAGTGGTCAGTATGTTTACCTTCTTCACTTTAGCTCCTACTTCTGTCCCTTGCATCATCTTGTACATCTCATCCCACATCTCCTTTGCAGTTGACATGCTAATAATCTGCATGTAGATTTCGTTCGGGATGGCTTGCAACAGATAAGCCTTGGCCGTTAGATCAGCTCTAGCTCCGAGTCTCTCTTGTTCAGTATATTCAGAAGGTATCTTCAGCTCTTGTGAAGCAGGGATGTTTTCAGGAGAATCGGGGATGGTTTTCCAGAATCTTGCAGGTCCACCAGTGATTGAGGACAGCATTTTGATGCCCTCATCTTTACTCTCTAGGAAATTTATGAACCGCTTCCTCCATACAGTGTATTCACCTCTGCGTAGGATTGGTGGCCTGAAATCGGCTCCCATAGAATAAGCGTCCATGTTTGATTGTTGAATGTCGATCATTGAAGTGTTGTGTTGATTGACTAAGTTACGCAGAAGTGGCTTGGTCAGCGTGATTACCTCCTTCTCTTTAGCTATTTCTTCCCTCCCGTGCATCATCTTGTACATCTCATCCCACATCTCCTTTGCAATTGACATGCTGTCAATCAGCATGTAAATGTCGTTCGGGATGGCTTGCAGCAGATAAGACTTGGCATTTACATCAGCTCTAGCTCTGAGTCTCTCTTGTTCAGTATATTCAGAATGTATCTTCAGCACCTGTGAAGTAGGAGGTTGTTTTCAGGAGCCCCGCGGATGGTTTTCCAGAATCTTGCAGGTCCATCAGTGATTGAGGACAACATTGTGATGCCTTGATCTTTACTCTCTAGGAAACTTATGAACCGGTTCCTCCATACAGTGTATTCACCTCTCCGTAGGATTGGAGGATTGAAATCATCTCCCATAGAATAAGTGTCCATGGTTGATTGTTGAATGTCGATCGTTGAAGTGTTGTGTTGAAGTATGATACGGTCGTTGAAGTGTTGTGTTGAATGACTAAGTTATGCAGAAGTGACTTGGGTCATAAAGTTGTGAAGGACTGAAAATGTGGATAATGATCCAAAAACCTGAAGAAAGGAAACAGAGAGGAAAGCTTTCAAAACAGAACAAGAAAAATTGCTTAATGAGATTTCTTCTCTCAAAATCGCCCCTCATTCAAGCACAGTTTCAACCACCGAAACCACCATTCCTGTTCCAAATAACATTTCCCCAAAAACTCCCTTAAAACAGGTTTCTCAAGCAAAGTGTAAGTGCTCATTCTCGTTTTCAAATGTGCCAAATGTGCCCACACAAAAATCTTTAACTAAATGGCAGGAGAAGAGGATGGCCTGGATCCCAAAACGTGAGAAAAAAGAAGCAGCAAGACTTAAGCATTTTCCCAAGAGGGCGAAGCAACACGCTTTTGTTTCAAAGTATTTATGGTCTAAATATGATACAATGCCCCTAGAACTTTAGACTCATAAAACTAAGCTTCTCAAACTAGAACCAGTACTAGCTATTATACAGTTCTTAATTGATTGGACAATTTGAGACATGCTATCATTTCCAGGGAAGTTGAACAGCATTTACTGTCCAATTCAGAGGAAAACATAGAAGTGCTACTCAAAACAAAAGATTCATATAGAACGTTAGGTTTGTATAATTTTAGTGATTTCTACTATTTCAACATTTCGAGAAATCCTTTGGCTCACAATATTGAGCAAAAAAGTTAAAAATCAAGATGTCCTACACAGGAGTAAAATTTTCCCTAAATAGGATTACTACTCCGTATGTTTTTTCACTAAATCGGAATGCATAACAGAATGTCTGTATGATGACAATGTTGATATGTTTTCAGGACGAAAGAACCCTTTGTAAAACTCATATGCTTTACTTCATATATGAAGTCTATCTAGAAATTTGATGCATATATATCTATCAACAGAAATCCAAAAATTATGAAACCCCAAGAAGGCGTGGATTTTGGGATTTCAAGCTCCTAATCTGTGGCACCAATCCAAACCCTATTATCAGGGGTAAGACTCACTTCTAGAATTGGAAACTTTCTACTTCACTGCAAAATCTGAAAAAATATATACACGATCCTACAAGAGACCGACGGAAAAAAGGAATTACATTGATATACTCGAAGCAGGTAAATGGTTATTAACATTACCTCTTCTGATCATCGTGACGGCGACAGACGAAAAATGCGGGATGAAATCGGCAGGAAGAAGACGCATTGGAGTCGGGAGTGAACGTGACCTTGCATCTCTTGCAGACCTTCTCTCGCTGCTTATTTACTTCTCCATCTTCTTTCACCACCTTCTCGTCCTTCTCCATGCTTTATAAATTTAGCTGCTTCTGTTTCTGACGATCATTAGTAGAAATTTCGGAAATCCTTCTATATTTTTCGGAAATCCTTCTATAAGACGCTGGTACCCCAGCTTCTAAAAAAACTAATTATGGGAGTAAATTAGAGCACCAGAAATGTTTATGGAATTTCATCCAAACACTTCAGCTTCTTTTTCTGCTCCCTGAAGGAGCAGAATCAGTTTTGATAATTAGATCCAAACACCCCCTTAGTCGACTGTCAAATAGTTATCACACCATGCATTCAACATTATAATTAATGACGATATTTTTTTATCATTACATTATTTTTCAATAGTAACATTATTTCGAGAATAAAAACATAGGGGTTCTATTTTGGAATTTCCAAAATTATTTACACCTATTTAAGACAATTTCTCTTTTTCTTATGATCCAGATATAGCGGAGTAGATACTTTTAGGGAAAATAGCCCCAATTAGGACTAAGTTATAGTTGAAATTCTTAAATGGGAGTGGGTATAATTTTTCCCCTAAATAGGATCATTCTTCCAATTTTACCCCTCTAATTCATTTAACCATCCGCAGCTCATATCCTCCGTCCCACGTTCAGACCATTCCGCATCTGTGTGCGCAACAGCAGTTGTGCTTCAACGGAGAGTGGTGGCGAGCAACTACAGTGATCAATGACGAGCAGCGGCAGAGAGCGCCGACGAGTAGCGGCAGCTTACGCCGGAGAGCAGCGGCAGCAGATCTACCTCTTCCCCGCACTCCTTTGTTTCTTCATTTTTCCCTGTCTGAATCTGGTCTGGTGGCGGTGGTGCCAAGCCCCTGACTCCCTGACGTCTCCTCTCTTCTTTTTAGTTGCTCTGCTTTGTGTTGAAGTCAAATTGAGTGGTTTACTTGGGCTTTGGGGGATTTTAATGGTTCGACTGAATATGACGGAGCATATGGTTTTACAATTGCCAATTTTTTTTTAAATGTCAACAAAATGGCATTCTTGTTTTTTAAGAATTTCAAAATTTTCTTTATAAATGCCATTAAGATGGCATTTTCTGATTAATGTTGGCATTCTGATATAAAGGTTGGCATCAGTGGAGGCATCGATCAGATCTACCATAGAAGTGGTCGGATCTGTCACGGCGGCGGCTGGATCTGCAGGAGTGGCGCTCAACAGAGGCCAGATCTGGACCTATCTAGGGATGTGGCAGTCGGATCTACGGCGGCGCTGTTCAGATATGTTACGTGGCTGGTTTTGAAGCTATGGTGGCAGCCCGCGGTGGTCGGTGGTGGACGACGACGGCCTGTGGCGGACGACGACGGCCTGTGGCGGACGACGGCGGTCAGAGGTGGCGGTCAGATGGTCTGTCAAGGGCATCCATTCTATCAAGCTTGAGGATATTTTTGTCCAACTGCAAATTATAACTCCTATTTGGGGAATTATTAAACTTTGGTATTATCTTGGCAATTAAGAATATAATTACTCCCATTTAGGTAAATCCACATACTTTTATGGTGTTTTTTAAAAGTAATTATTGGTATACACGTATACATTCTTTTGTAAATTTGTGTATGTATAAAGACAATTGAGTTGCTATAGATGACACTTTTGTTCAAAAAATAAATCTTTTTTAATTAAAACATTACCTCTTATTATTGTAGATCATTTTTTTGTGAATTTTTTAAGACCGTCTGGGAGGACAAATAGGCACTCTAGAGTCTAGACGGTCGATTTATTCAGCTAGGCACCAAACCAATTATTCGGGATTCCTAGCTAAATTAGTTTATCGCCAACCCGATTGGCTGAAACTCATCTTTTCTTTTACAATAAGATCCCACCGTATTTATTAGGGTTGGGCATTCGATTTGGTTTAGTTCGGTTTGGATGTGTAATCTTTAATAATATATGAAGGTTTTATTGAATTTCTTTAGTTCGGTTTGATTTTGTTCGGTTTTTATCGGGTTCGATTCGGTTCGGTTTAGTACGGTTTGGAAGAAATACTACTAAATTCAAACCAAACTCCATATGGTCCGATTTTGGTTGAGTTTAGTTCAATTTACTACGGTTCAGTTAAACAAACCTAATATGTCTACTCCTAATATTAGTAATGATGGATATATATATATATAATACTTGAAGAAATCACTCGAGGACTTAATTTTTTGTACAACAATTACAACAACTAACAGCACTTGAATGAATATATCTTGTATATCAATTTTCATTCAAGATAAAAGTTTTCAATCTATTAAACTCTTATGGCATATTAGAAGCCTATATATTTGTTTTTGGCAAAAAATGATAAATGCAACTCTCCAAAGAAAATGTAGTGATACCAATAAGTCAATAACATGTTTACTTCAAAGGAATTCTTTATCACAACTTGGTTATCATTTAAATATCTCACAACAATTATCATTTGTATTTTTATAAAATTATGAATTTATTTTTATTTTTTGTATGATAGGCACAAGGCATGTCAAAAAAATGGCTCGCAGAGACCCGCTCTGCTCTGAGACATTTGGGGCGGGGCCGGCCCGCTCTGCCCCGTGCATACAACGGAGCGGGTCCGGGTATTAGTATTGATTCGTGTCGCCCCGACCCGCTCAATATATCTTTTATTTTTAAATTATACTACAAATACTAATATAAATTTAAGTGTGAGTATCAATTCATGAATTCCTCATTATTTTAATATATTTATTAAAATATTACTCCCTACGTCCCATTTTAGCAGTCCTACTTTCATTTTTGGGTTGTCCCAAAATAAGTGTCTTCTTTCCTTTTTTGGAAAGAAATATGTGGCCTACATCATTTCATTTTATTATTCTCAAATCTTAACAACTTTTACTTTTTCAACCACTTCATTAATAATCATGCCAAGTCAAACTAAGACACATAAAAATGGGATGTAGGTAGTAATATTTATATTTGAAGTAGATGAAAAGTTTATAAACTGTCGATGCCTTTTTCGTGTTTTTAGCATTGTTACATTCATTTCTTCATAATTAAAAAATTAACTATTTTAGTCTATATTCTTTTTTTTTTTGAAACTTTATATTGTATTATGACTTTGATTTATTATATCATATTTGTTTTTTATAAAATTAGAAGACAAACTTTATGTAAAATTCAAGCTAATGACTCGTGCCAACATCTAATGATCCGTGCGGGTCACGGGGTGGGGCGGGTCCACCTAGTTATGTCATGGGGTGGGGGCGGGTCCTGCACTATCCGGCCTGAACCGACCCATTGTTATGCCTAATAGGCACTATTTTGAACATGAGTATTATACCAAATCATGGGTCAGAAGCGGTCACTTGTCCCAAGCCACTAGGTCCTCGTGTGTAGGCCACCCTAGATCATCCTGTATCAAATTTCTAGGGTGAAATTTATAAGAGAAATTTCCCAAAATAAGACTCAAACATGAGGAAAATGCAAAAATAGGACATATTGTAATTAAATTTCCTAAATAAGAGTGAATATTTGTGTTTGGACAAAAATAGCCTAATGAAAACTGTCATAACATTATTTTTGTGCAGCGCAGCCGCAACCGTCCTCCGGTGCCGCAACTGTGTATCCTCCAGCAAGTCCGCAGCCTCCGCTGCCCTTCACAGAGTTTGCCGCCACCATCCTGCGACGAAGTCGATGCTCTCCGTCAAGTCCCTATAATCGCCCTCGAGAATGCCACATGATTTGCATAATTACACAATAATGACTTTTTCGTGTAGAAACATGACATTCTCAATGTGGCATTCCAAACACTGTAATTGCAAATTGAGATTGTCATTTTGAAAAACGTACTTACATAAAAGTGACATTTTTTCAAATAATCACTAACTATGACATTCACAGATTCAAAAAGTGGCATTTTCTTGAGAGTCATTAGTCAGGACGGAGGTTCAAATTAATCAAAATTGATAAGAAAAAATTCAAATTCAAATATATGCCATTACTTGTCCTTCGTTGAAATTTAGCTCTTCATTTGATTCATAGAAATTTAAAAAGGAGGGGGGGGGGGGGATTTGGCGCGACACGGCTGGCATCGATTAAGAGTGCGGCTGCAATTGATGGCGGAGGAGCTATGTTGCATCAGAGGTAGAGATCTGGTTCAATCACATGTGGAGGAGTTGTGTTCCATTCGCAGGTGGAGAAGAGTGACTGGCGTCGATCAGGAGCGCGATTGCAATTGATGACGGAGGGACCATGTTGCATCGGAGGTAGAGAGTTGAGTTCAATCTCAATTGGATGAGTTGTGTTCCATTCGCAGGTGAAGAAGAGTCGCTGAGAAGGTTTAATCATATAAGGGCAAAAATGTAATATGGAATCCTATTAAAGGAATAATAACTTAAATTTCTATTTTGACTATGTTTTAGTCACATTTAAGACAATAACTAATCCAAAACATATTTTATAATACTCCGTAATATTTCTATTGAGAATGTTCATAGAAATAATTCGAATTATTGACAAGAATAAATTGAGATCAATTCAAACTATTAGGTTGGAGGACTTTAAATGATATCAAATGACTCAACTACCCTCCCCCTTTTAGTGGTTTAATTAATTCAGCCGAAGTTTTGGTCGGAAGGACGACGAGTGGTGAGGGAAAAATAGTCACGAACTATATGTGAACAAATTGAAAGTAGGGAACGAATGTGGAAGTGGTACAATAGTCATGTGACCAAAAGTGTAATCCTTTCTTTTAGAGCTCGTGTGGTAACACGAAAATCGGCTGATTTGGCTGAAACTGCTAAAATTTATGAAATTATTGTTGAAATGGCTGCATTGGCTGATTCTGCTGATTTAAGAAAAAAAGTTAAAATACATTTTTTAATAAAGTAATGAAAAAATAATATGTAAAATAGTTAAAATGATCATCTATAGTAACTTTAATTAATACAGCCAGAAAATAATTTCAATCTTACTTTTTTCTTAGTATCACACAATTCAGCCCACGAAAAACAAAAATTACGTGTTTGATGAAAAAGTTGACCGATAAGTCTGATAAGCCGAAAAAGAAAAGTTATGTGTTTGATGAAAAAGTTGGATTAATAAATCTGCTCTCATGTTTATTACTCCCT